ATCTCATTCGCTTCCTACACGAAGATTTTCTATAGTCTTTGTCATCGTCGCATTCAAACGCAAGATCGTGTTCAACAACAACCGAGGGCACCAAATGCACTGAACATCGCACGATACAAAAAGGCCGTGTACAATGCACTGTGGGTGCAGTTAGCATTAGTTATTTGTTATGTCCCATATATTGTAGTGGCAATTTTAATAGCTTCAAGTGAAACCTATTCGTCACAATTAATCGTCAGTTCGCGAATAGTGCTTGTTTTCGTCTTCTTTAATTCGTCTTTAAACCCGTTTCTTTATTGCTGGAAGATTAGCGAAGTAAGGCAAGCAGTAATAGAAACAATTAGACAAGCACTTTGCTGTCCATGTGGTTGATTCCTCTTCTATCTAACTATATATTTTTCTGATATTTTCGAAGACAGTTTGTAAAATTGTGGATGTAAGTAGAGGAGGAACTAGTTTGTCCGAGATAAGAAGAATCAAGGAAGCTCAACAGAATTTGCAAGGGGTGCCATTGTAACGTCTCTCTTTTCTTTTGAAAAACTAAGGGACAGAAGACAAAAAACTGAAAACATTAATGATTCGTTTTATGGTGGTACCACATGAAATGGAAGAGCAATTCATACGTCAACAAATGTGTCCTCTAAGAGAGCTTTCTTTTCCCTATCTTCATCGAATTCCAAGTATTGAAGAGTTGTGACAATGGACCAGTTTACTTTTTTTTTTTTTTTTTTGCAGCTCAACTATTGTCCTACGAGTTTTGTCACAACTCTAGTTTTAGGCTTTATTTCGCTATGTTATTTAAAGAAAATAATATTAATTGATAAAATGAACGTGGATGTTTTTGTCGCTTTTAAAAGCTATGGAAGTGAGTGGGTGAAATAAATTTGGCCATGGCCGGCTTTTACAGGTTTCTGTTGTATGATCGGTCATCTTTTCCACAAATTCATTTACATTTTAAGGGGAAAAAACAAAAGCGAATGAGACATACAGTCAGTATTCAAGAGGGTTTAGTATAAAGAAAGATATAAATGCTCACCGCTCAGTATGTTACCAAAATGTCGCAAATTGTGTGCGAATTATAATCAGTATTTCAATGTCTATGACTTCCGAGCCATTACCATCCGTAAATTTCACTTTTTTTCTCTTTGCCAAACTGTGTTTGAAAGCTTAACCGGAGGCGAGTAACTCAAGAACATGAAATTGTTGTATAACAAGGTAGATCAAGAAAAATGGTTTTTATTGATGAGATTAGTGACGAAAGAAATTTTTTCTTCCATGTTGTCAAAGAACAGGTCTACTAATTTATTAATGCTTGCACTGGAAATTAACTCCTCTCTTATTTGCAGTTGAATCGAATTTTACCGACCCATTTAAACAGCAATTGTTCAGTGATAAGCAGCTGCCTTTTTAAGGAGCTCAATTTAGAGATGGCCCCGACAAAGGACCTAGAAAAAAGAAAAAGAAAATTTAAGCCTGAGGTGACTAAGTAACCTTGTAAGAATTGACATCACTCTTTGATGGTTTATGTAGTTTCATGATATAATGTACAGTGGAAGTCACGAGGGGTCTTTGAAAGTATAAAGTTGGAAAAGTGTCACAAGAATTGATAATTTTTAAAGAAGTATTTCCCATTACGAGCGATGACTAATGCAAGGCAAAATTGCTAGCTAAATCACGCACATTACAAATGGGTTAAATGCTATTGGGGAACACTTGATAAAAATGGAAATAGGCAGGTATCGTTTTCCCAAACGATTGCTCGCTGTAATTGCAGTTAACTACCAGAAAAAGAATACAGAGTTAAGGCAGCAACAGATATAACAGGAGGAGAGAAGCTCACTATGACCTTTAAAGAACTGGTATTTTCCCCGGCGCTGGTGAGTGGATCACAACAACATATACTTTAATTTTCAACAGCCAGCTTTCTACTTTCCCTAAAGGCATCTCTTAAGAATTCTCTCATCATTGTTGCTTTTAACAAGGAATTTTCCCTTCATCCGTCATCCAGCCTCTTTTAACTGATCTATTAGCTTTTTTTGTAGTCCATCCTTTTACAGCTAATTTTGATCATGAGGTGTCCTTTCTTCTCGAGGACTAGCGTAGAGACTGCGTAGATACATTTATGACGCGGCCTTCACACCGACCTTTGTATAATGTTCAGTGTCTCTGTTAATGTTGACGGCCATATGCGTGGACAGACTTCTGGCCCTGATGTTGGGGCTGAAATATGCACACAAATTGCAACTTTGAGGCGCATATATTTCATTAAAGTTATCTTTTGGATTGTATCTGGTGTCGTTGCTATACACCAAGTTTTAGATTACTTCATAACATTTTGGTATGGCTGTACAGTTACAACTTGACGCATAAAGTGCGCCTAAAGAGAATTTACCCCTTAAATAAGGCGGTTTTTTAGGTAACAGGTGGTTATATGAAATTTCATCCTGTTTTTATTTCTTAAGGGATCCAGCTGAAGGATTGATTTTACTATATAATAGAAAAGAGCCGAAATAATTGTATCATACTTCCTCTCCTTCTCATTGATGAAATTTTGTGCTTCTTTTCATATTTACCAGTTAGTCATTGATGATAATGCAAGTGGTGGGCGCCACAACTTCCTGCATAATCAACCGGTCGGAAAAAAAAAAATTCTCTCTTTACTATCATATTCTGCAAAAACAACTCTTTACTATCAGAAATTTTCGGGACTTACAAGACTGGATGTTTGTGTCTTCCATTCATGAAAACAACTTTATGGATAAGAAAAGAAGTGGCAAGACCAACCAACAATGAGATTTGTCGGACAAAGATACAAGAGTTTAGACCGCGGATAGACGGAAGATTCCTGGGGAAATAGATTGATTGTTGTCGTAATCCACCTGAAAAAGCGGGAAAACATAGCAGTTCTTCAAACTGTTTAGTTCGCATTCCACGTCTGTGTCCGTAGAGTCGTTTCTTTGTACACATCGTAATTTGAATAAATACAACTGCTATTCACTATCAATGCATGCATCGCCATCGAACTCTATACTCTTCTCATATTCAATAACATTTGGCTATTTTTTCTTTTTTCTCGAAAAGCCACGAAGAGATTACAACTATAAACATGAAATCATGTACAACTCGAATGATCTAGCCTTAAGGACAGCGAAGTGCTTGTCTGATTGTCTGCTTTACTGCTTGTCTTATTTTACTAACCTTCCAGCCATAGAAAAATGGATTGAACTTTTAACTGTGAAAGGTTGCCGAGCGCATTTAGCGTAGGTAATTTTGATCTAAACACCACAAACGATTCAATAGCTCCCTTCAGTAGGGTAACGTTCTTGTAAATTATTGGTCAGTTTAGAGGGCCGTGTTACACTGTACGGCACGCTTAATTCAAAACTTTGTTTGAATTTAAATCCGCCCTCTAGTTAACCCTTTGACTCCCAAGATCTGATTGTGAATTCTCTCCTCTAGCTGCTACACTCTTCCTTCTAAATTAGTTCGGAGAATTTGGTGTTAAATCAAGAAAAACAACCTCTATGCGATAAGTTTAAGTACTCTTATTACCTGTTTGCCACATAGTGTATGGATATTATTGTAATGTTTGACACAGTACACACACAGCGCCATGCTCAATTCTTTATTATGTAACAACGCCACAGCCCACGTGCAACATAATGTATGCTAATTATGCTAGCTTAAACATGACAATTATAGGGAGAAGTTACCTATTAATCACTTCTGTGATTTAAAGGGTTAAACCCAGAGGTAAAGTAAATGTCTCATCAGCCTCGTTTTCTTCACGGTTTTTTTTTTCGTTTTCGAATTGAGTGTTGAATAAAATAGCTCTGTTAAGTGGTGCTTTGTAAATTTCTTGTTAAGGCTTCTCTGTTTAATTGTTCTATTCCTGATAAGCCTTCCACTCCATCGCAAACTATTGGTGAAAAGAAAAAGAAGAAGTTTCCTAAAGTGCGAACAATTTTCCTTGCCTTTGTGTTATTAAAAAAAATAGACAAGAACTTATTTGCACTCGTAACGCCTTTTGGTTGATTCAATACAAAACAGGAAAGTTTTTCTCTTCCAGTGCTGCCCGGCCACTTTTCATTGGCCACCTAACCATCAAATAATTCGCTCCCTGTTTTCCAGGTCATTCTTCACCAAATGGCGGCAAAAGAGTCCAAGAACAAGTCAATGAAATCTCTCAGCGGAGTTCCACTGTGTGTAACGCGTTTCGCGCAGCTGTAAAAGTAACAGAATGCGCGTTCTAGCCGCATTCTATCCATGTCTGTTTCCACCGCGGACAGCAAAGTAGCTCAACTTGAAAACAACGTACTTTTATTTTTCTTTTCACTCATCCCAGTATTGATTTCTTCGTTGAGCAAATATAAAAATAAGTAAATAACTGTGTAGCCCACTTGAAATAACACACACAAAAATTGTTCGATGGTTTGTAAACGGTACTTTAGAGTTACTTCAATCAAGTACTTGTTATTGTTTTTTTATTTTCTTTACTAATTTTCCTGTTAACACGGTGAATGAAACAATATCATAATGAACTTGGACTCGTCGTTTTTCCTTTGAGTTATCAATAGTCCACTGAGTTCTTCGTGTTCGTTCAGATTAATTCTCAAAACAAATGCTTTTTTCCTGCTTCATATGAAACTCGATCCGTAAAAAAGGAGACTAAAACGAGCTTCAAATGACCAAAGGTTGTGTTCAAGAATTGGAGCAGCCTGCGAGAAGGCCTTCATCATCATCGCTGGAGGACGCGCGTTTCTCCGCCCGCGAGAAGATTTGAGATGAATCAAGGAGAGGTTTGCCGGGGGCCTGGCACCTAACTATCAGCGCCAGACCCCTTGCAGACCTCTTCGCTGGTTCGCGTTGCCCAAGGCCCCCTACTTTCCCGCGAGCGAAGAAACGCTTGTGCCGAAGTGCTAATAATGAGGGCCTAGTGACAAGTTAGAATGGAATGGAACATGATATTCCCGTAGTTGAGCCAACATGTCTAAAACTGTTCACCCTCTATCAGGTCTCGTCTGTTTTACCATCTTTCTCATCACATCCCTGGGATTAAAAGTCGCAAAGAAGAAAATTATTGAGATACAGCAGGGAGATACGGCAGCCTAATGCAAAGAGATGTAAATGAGCGGACCTAATTTCAGTTCAAGAATCATCCATACCTTATCGCGTTAAGCTTTTCTTCCACTGATTCCCAAGGATTGCGATCTTCACTGAATTCAAGGAGCTCTACAGCAATGTAAATATGAGCACGGAAAATATTCAGTTTTCTTAATAGTGTAAGTAAACCATTAGGCTGAGAGAGAGTATATTAGCCTTCAGTGGCCAAATAACCAGCTCTTCCCGTCCTCATCTGTTTTCTACTTTGAATCCAAACAAGGATATGCATAATTTGGTCATTAACTTATCGTGTAAATGAGAATTTTACGCGTTCATAGCTGGTCGAGTTTCTATGATATCGAATTTACTACATGGCCGCGGAAATGAAGTTAAACTATTGCCAAGCTAAATATTATTGTAATGGACTCTCGAACAAAATGCTCATCCATAGTCTTCGTTCCAGCCCTTCAATCCATCTCATCGTGAATTTAAGCGAGCTCAAATTACTACAAACCTTCCGCAAGTTTCTTTTCACTGATCCATTCTCCCTCTTTGTAATACTTCACGCGTAAATTCTGCAACGAAGATAAGAAGACAAGTGAGAAGACGCAAAAAAAAAAACATTCATACATTAACTGAACAGACATAATACGTTTTGAGCTAATTGAAATAATATAAGCAAAATTGAGTATCCATCCAGAGGCGCCACTGAAATTTTTTTTCGCTGAAAGTTAGTCGCCAAATTGGCGACTAGAACGTACCAAAGATTTACTGAATTAAAAAGATTTGCAAAGATAAATCCGCGGCAAATGAGTTTGTTTCCAAAAAACTTGCATCTCGATTTGGACGCCGTCTTGGATTTAGATGAGTGTTCACCGTCTTAACTTAATTTTGGAGGGTCTATCTAGAACGCTGACAGCGTAAAGAAAGAAATTTGTTTGTCTTTGAAAATGGCGACCAACTTTTTTTGAATCTTTGTCACTCACTTAACGCAAGTAAAAATTTAGCCATGAGAAACTTTTTTTTGCTTTTATATCTTGTTCACTTAAGCTTTTTTTGCTTTTAATTACTCAGTCTCGCGCACGCAAACTAGCTGCAAACGTGCGAGCACATGCCCATCTACACGAGGACGCGTTACAATGCACGCCAACGCCTCCTTCTTAAACCCGTAATCTCCGTCTACGTACCAGAAAAGGAAATCTCTCCATACGAGTGAGCTGTAAAATACGATCCACATCATACTCCACACGGGCGACTTTCTTGGCCTGAATGTAAGTTGTGCTCATCTGTGCTATGAGTATGTTTAGTAAAATCACAAGTACAGTTCCCATGTACGCTAGCATCAACAGAGTGGAGAGCCAACTGCAAGAGAACAAAGATTCACAGCAATTACGGTATAAGCATAGGGATTACTATAGGAAAACGTAGGGTAACGTATTGCATATAATACCTTTACGAATGAAACAATGTCAGTATCTAAGCAACTACGCACCTACCCCTCCCCTAATTTAACAACATTGAAATGTAAGTCAGGGCTAATGTTGGGTCAGGCGCGGTGCGAGTGTGCTGTCGATCCATGCTGATGATACAACTGGGTACTTAAGTCAGTTACTCACTTGAAGCTTGAATAATCTGCCACAATGGATCGTTGCTCAAAGAGAGCAAGAACACCGCTCAACAATACATCTCCAAAGCCACTGATTATAAAGAATAGATTTAAAACAACGTAAACAACATTTCTGAATATATGCCCGTCGAGTAGACTAAATAAGTCTTAATGGCAATTGCACTGTATTTCTCCAAAACTGGACGAGAGTTTTCAAAATTGGAAAGCTAGAAGCATTATACATTTTTCTTCCCGTAGAAAAATTCAGATTAAGCTCAAACAAGAAGGAATAAGAAACAAATAGAATCACTAGATGCACCTTAATTCTTGGTTTTGATTGGATGAACGGAGAGATAAAAATAAAGCCCCACAGAAGGGAAGGAAAATCGCAACAAAAACTGTCATGAATCTTGTCAAGTCTTGCTGAATGATCTTAGCCAAGGTTTTTGTGTATAGTCCTGTAGTCCTGGAAAAGATGAAAGTCTGAGTAAGATAAATGAACTGGGCTTCATTTCAGTAGGGACTTAAAATCGTACATTAATTTCAAACGTCCATTCATGTAGGAATAGTCTATTGAAATAAAAAAAGGCTTTCCTAGAAACGATTATTTTTCCCCCGTCAAGGGGAGTTAAAAGATTTTTCCTGTACTTATCGGTTGATGTAGATCGTTAGTCAAGTGAGAGCCCTGTGAACGCTAATCATGCATATACAACCGAAATAAAGCATTTCAAGTCAAAGCTTAAATATTTTTAATAAAATTAATTACCTACCTTGTCACACATGAGAACTTAAAAATCCTCATGAAATTAAACAAGATAGCTAAAGATGCAACTGTCCATTGTGCTTTGCTGCTGGTGAGCCGTAAGGGTATTATACCGAGGACCAGCAACAGACCTAACCAGTCAAATAGGGCCATCCACTCTGAGAAGTAGGAATACCTCTCTCTATAAAAATGAAGCAAGAAAAATTAATCACTCCTTGGATCTTTGTTTCTTTAGGAAAGCTTTATTCATGAACACAAATTTTGATTTTTGTTGTAAAAAAATGCTCAATAAATGTGGAACATTTGCTATTAAGAAGGGGTTTATTCTGCGGGGGAACCTCCAACACCATGCTGATTGAACCAGTAGATACTATAATGTAACCCATCTGGCCCCCCACTCGCTCAATCCTATGTTAAACCAAAGTGTGTTTCTGTTCTGACTCGAATATCTAAAATAAAAATCTCATTGCAGAATCTTTTTTGTGGTTGTCCCGCGCGCATTCGACTATCGCGTGTTTCACGTCCTATTTGAAGTGATACAAAATTCTGTAGATTTTCAACCCTTGGTGGTCATATGATAAAATGCTTAATGACTGAGTTTGGTCAAACAGGAAGGGAAATATTTGGATCTCAGTCATGACATACAGCTGACACTGTGCTCGGTCTGTATGTTATGAGCCAAGCATTTTCGTGCCCCGCCCTCCTACTCAGTCACTAGGAACATATTCAATCATTTTATGAATTAATTTTCACGGCATTTAACAGAGTTATTAGCCAAATCACTTACATTCTCATTTGATTAACTTCCTCACAGATGTAAAAGACAACCATGAGAAGAGTGACAATCTCACAAAATCCACACCATAGATCTGCTGCACCACTATACAGAGTGGGGTCCAGTTTGGTAGAACCATACAGCAGAGAATATGACAAGCACAGCAAAAAAATTACATACAATACCACTTGAAGGCTAAAAAAGAAAAAGAAGCTTTATACATCAAAAGCCTATAAATTTACAAGGAACACAAATCGAACAACATAAAAGAAAACACATCACAAACGGAAATTTAATGATGCAAAATTAGAAACTAAGGTAAACCTGAATTGGGGTAGGTCACTAAAAATTATAAATAAGATTTTTTTTTCAAGCAGAAGGAAGAGAATTAAATTAGCTATGGTGTATCACACCCCCCTATGCCCTACGATTGTGCTGTTTCTAGCAATTTGAACTATTTTATTTGTTTCCTTTTTTTGTTTTTTGTTTACACATGAGTAGCTTTAGTTATATTAATTTTATAAACAAGGGGTCTACTGTAATTTGCTAGGCTGTAGTGGTCTTCCTAATACTTTTTATGTATAAAAGTGTTGTATTCTTGTAAGATGAAGCTAAATAAATAAATAAATAATTGGATTAATCCACCTGTGAGTCTGAATTTGTGGCCTAAACTTGCAAGCATTCTAAGAAAGGTAAAATTATTTACCTGAGAAAGAAATGTCCATAACTTTTCCATTTTGTCTTAATCAACATTCTGACAACTGGATGTTGTAGAGCCTCCTGAAATTCAGCATCATGCAAAATTCTAAAGCAACTGTTAGTTAGTGATGAATATTATACCAACTTAGTATAATACCCAGGTGGACAATTTCACACCATTGAGGACACTCATATTTAAATCTAATGACTACTTGTCCAAAAGGCGAAAAGGAAATACATCATATGCACTAATTAATATTTACCTTGTTATTGCTCTTTGCAATCATGTTTAAACATGACTTGTCTCTCCAGTTGAAATATTTGTTATCTGACTCTGTGTGTCCTCCTGACAACAAAACTTTTGGAGGTCGCCCTCCCTCATCACTATCCAAGATAGCATAATGAAAGCAATAGTTCAATGGATCTTCTGGGATGGTCTTCCAGACTCCTTCAATTCCTTCCTTTTCTTCTTGAGAGACATAATGGTCCTTTCGTTTTGGAAGGTAAGGCCAGTGAGGGTTTAGCATCTGGTCAAGCACAGCCACAACTGTTTTCTGTTGACAGTTTGCATATTTCCATTATTAATAAAACTCCAATAAATTCATCATCAAAATGCCTCAATTTTAAAGGAGTTCTAATTCAAATAACAGCATCAAAATTAAACCAAAACTAAGGGGTTGGTCAGCATCAATTCCACTTCTCAAAATTGTTGTAGGACTGAGTCATAATCAGAGGAATATTAAATTTGAACATAATAAATAAAAACTTGACAATAACAATGCATAACTATTATGATAGAAGATAACTGACTACATAAAGATTCCCAGGATTAATTTAGGTACACCATGTTTGAAACTGCTCTAGTTTGACACAACATCATTTTCATCAGTTTGAGTAAATTTCTTTCGATATTCTTTGAAAACCAAAAAATTTGTTGCTCTATTTTGATATGAGGCTCGTTGGTTACTGATTACACAATAAAAATTTTAACAGTTTGCCTCTTTCTAGTAAATGTGTATCCTACAAATATTTGATTGTCACAGCCAATGGAAGTAATAATAACATCCTATGTAAATTTCTCACCTTCATTTTAGGATTCTCAATAATGGACTTGAAACTAAGGATAGATGGCAGAGGAACTGTCCTATCCTCTGGTCTCCAAGAAAATAAACTTTTCACCCTGATAATGAGAGGAGAAATGTGATGATTATACAAATAGTCCAAAGGAGTGGGAAATAATTATAACATCATCAATTTTATATGTCCTGAGTAGGTGGGGACTTCAGATAATACCAAACTTAGTCAGAATTAGGTAAAAAGGGTTATAAAAAAAAAGTGATAAATTGGTACTGGTGAAAATGAATAAGGAATGTAAGTTGTTCAGTGGCTAAAATCAAAAGCATTCAACCATAAGTTCAGCCCCTGTGACTCTCCTAAACAGATGTGGGATCTGCACAGTAAATTGCAAAAGGGTTCACTATCAATTCATCAATCTTTCTATAAAAATCAAGTGAGAAATGGTCCTTGCACATAAGCTGCAATGTAAGCAATTGCAGAACAAAAGCTACATAAATGAAGAAGAAGAATTTATTTCATTAAAAATTGTGAACAGATTCTTAGCTCTATTCTGGAAGGATTAAGCCATCTCTAAAATTTGCATTGCTCCCAAAGTGTGGCCTTGGACAAGCTCAGTTGAGAGTAAACACCCAACTGGCTTCTGGGTGGAGCAGGTTCATATCTAGCCAAAGCCTGAATTTTTCAGGCTTCTGTTCTGCAATTTCTTTGTAATTGAAGCCCATGTTGCGAGGATAATAATTTCTTTACTAATTGATTATTATCTGTAAGTCAAATGGAAATTGTTTCATTTAAAATTTTAATTTTTCTGTATGCAATAGACAATCAAGTACCTATCATGCCACATTGTTCTAATCAAATATGCTGCTACTTCATCATTTTCTGCATTTACAGCCATTTCAACTGGTAACATGGCACTTTTTTTCTCTGGTACCAATTGAAGTTCAGTCTCTACAGCCAGAAGTCTAGGACAGTTCTTCACAAGTGTTTTTGTAACTTGCAAAAACCCAAGTTCAGCAGCATAGTGAAGCAAAGTTTTCTTTGTTTTGTCTTCTTCATCTTTATATACCTCATATCTGTTCTCCAAGTTCAGTTCGCTATCTAACAGAATCTCCAAAAACAGATTTACCTGAAAAAGACATTTAAATTCACAAAAGCCCTTTAAATAGCAGTATTACCTTTGGAGAGTGAGGGGAGAGGATGTCTAATGTCTAAACTACCCCATCCACTATGGAATTTTTCAGTATGAAATCTAGCATACATTAAGCTTGTTAATATTTATCTCTATTGTTACCTCTTTGGCCCCTGTGACAGACTGGCATCTAATTTCTCCTTACAATATCATACTTGAATCACACATAAAGGTAATGAGCATAAGGCAAATGATCACAAATTAAAGAAGCACTTGATAATTAAACTAATTCTCCTTGTCTGCACCATAGGAACTGTATAAAGAAAAGCTTGAATAATATGCAAACTGATGTTAAGGTGTAAAGGGTTAAGTATATCAACTGTTTACCACACAGATGTGGTTACCATACCAGCTTTTCAAGGCCTGGAAGTTTGTCAGGGCTTTCTCTGTACCGCCTGGATGCTGGCCACCGTTTTAACATCACAAGGGCTGGGTCCTCACCGTCCAGTTCTCCATTTACCTTGTAATTCTGAATTAGCCTTTCAACTCGAACTTCGTTCATAGCTCTGCTCCATGACAATCCTTCACTCTGCTTTTCATGAACCTACGTACGAATTGAAGATAGATATGTTGGAGCTCAAGCTTTTCTTCGCCAACAACATTTTGAGTCCATAGATTACTCAAATTTGGAATTATCAGGGTTTCCTTGCGTTTTCACCTTGATCCAAAACTCTCTCGATGTGGCGTAATCCCAATCCAGAAAATCCCCTTTCTCATAATTTTCACTTAGAGGTTCTTGATCTTCGTCACTATTTCCTTCGTCACCTTGTTCGAAAAACTTCCCTTTTCTCATCTTTGAATGACTTATCATCAGCTGGAATATCAGTTCAATGTATTTTATTTGACAGAGCCTGTTTACGGGGTAGAAATTAGGCGTGTGGTTCTCTTGACCCTTCAATGCGTCTTAGGTTCAAATCGCATAGCAACTGAATAACTACTACGCATGTCAAGATTTTTACGCGGGCTCATACAGGGTAGCCTTTGAGGAATCAAGCTGGTAAGGGGAGGGGGAGTGGTCGACTGAATATTAGTAACAATGGTGGACTTGCCAAGTGCATGTCCTTCCTAAAAATTGAACATATTTAATCCCTTTGCAAAAATTTCAAGCTAGAATAAGCCTCCTGATGATATCGTCTGAAAGAATGTGGTATATCATGAGTGAGAGCAGCAAACGAGTGAGAAACTTACTATATCTACAAGTAATCATATATCACTTTGTTTATCACATAAACAAATAGGCTCTTTACTGACATGAAAAGTCGACTTTATTGATGAATGAAAAAAATCCTGAAAAAAAATGTGTTCAACGCGTTGGCCATAAAAAAAAGTTTTCAGTTATTATCTTTTTCCATACCATACACAGACAAAAATCAGTCGTTGGCAAATCTTCCAGTTTCAAATTTGCAAATACCGGAATTTTTCGCCGCTGAGAACTAAAATGGCCATTACCAAAGCCAAGTAACTTTCGGCCTTTTTCCTTCGCGTTTTGGTTCTCTTCCACTTTTAAGACATCTTGCGTAATTTTCATTGTTTTTCATTCTTCGAATATTTCATTGTTTTTCAACGACAAACGTGAAAATGGTGGCCCTTGCCATTCGTTCAAAAAAAGTAAAAAAAGTATCGTAACTTTTTCAGTTAGAAAATATTATGTGTTTAAAATTAAGTTTTAAAAAACAGAGAAAAAAGTACAATTTCCTATTTTGTCGCTTCTTTGAACGAGCGTTTATTGGAACCTGAGAGAACATTTACATTCACTTCTGCTAATGCATGGCGTTAAACTAAATCCTACACGGTTAAATTGCTACGGCTTTTTCTGACAGCTGGAAATCCTCGCTGTTTTTTTTTTTTTTTTTTTTTTTTCCATGATTTAGCCAGTTTGAATTCACACGGTATATTACTTCACTGAAATGTAGAGAGTCAATGCATTCGACATGTCCGAGCGCGCACTGTCTAATACCTTCCCCCTCCAGCCCATCGCTCAATTAATCGTGGGGATCGCTTGTTTCCATATTGTATTGCATTTTACTTGATTCCCAATCCTGATTTCTTATAACTTTTCTTAAAATCGATACATCTTCCTGAAAACAAGAGACAAAAATTAGTAGACAACTAGAGGTACTATGTCACGTTCGGCTCTTTTTTTTTTTAATTTAATGTCTTACACAATCTTGGGTTAGTCTTTTTAGGAGGTTATAAACTGTTTATAATAGGGACCTTAAGCAGTCAGGACGGCAACGCCAAGGAAGACTTCGATTAAAAAATGAATTTCTGCCTTTAATTAGAATTTCAAAAATGGCTGCATGTGTTTACCGTCTCATACGGCGCCACACCTCAACTTCAGCATAATGTATAAAAGAAGCGTTGAGTTCTAGATGGAACTTAAAATAATTTGCCGTCAAGATTTCGGTTCGCAGACGACGCAAATTGTGGTGATTTCACGTTGTTGTTTTGCATAGGACGGCTATGAAATGTATAAAGTTTTAAAAGGCACGTGCTGAGCTATAGTTCTGCTAATTAGATCTTTTGTTTTTCCATGTCCTCTTCTCCATCGCCGTCGTGGTTTGCTTAAGGTCCCTAATATTTTGGTCTCTTTGTCTTACACCGCATGCTAGTTAAGATACGACTTTTTCGATTCTCAGTTGGGCAACCAATTTATTTCATTAGGGTAAAATAATCAGCTAAGAAAGAAAAGACAGCATTTCAGTTTTCAGTCACTTTGACTGAGAACTGGAATAGAAACTGCAGTGTTTTCAGGGATTTCCCTCCCCAGAGAAAATCCGTAACAATTCAACCGTGTAGAATTTAGTTCAATGCCATGCATTACACGTTCCAACGCAGCGCCAAAATGCAAACTAGTTACGTAAGAAAATATTTCCCGGTGTAATTAACGAAACTATAGAGAAAAGAGAGCAACATATCATTTTCCTTTTTTGTATGTTCGTTTTCCTTCAGGCATTCACTTCTTCAATGTGGCATTCAGCGTAAAGTTTTCTATTTTCCATGGCTTCGTTTATTACACATAGAAATATTTTCTTACTTCGACTATAGCATTCACTTTTGCTAATGCATGAAGTTGAACTTAATTCCACACGGTTGAATTTTTTGCACGCATTTCACACATCCGCTCCCAATTATAATGTATAAATTTTAGCTTTCACGTACGTGGCGATACACTTTTAGAACTAAGGGCGGATAGAAGCAGGTACAGTCTTGCTTTCCAAACTACTTGGAATTGCATGTCTTCGATTTAAGCTGTTTTTAAATTCACTGATGAGCATTCATTAATATATATTTCTCTTTTCAGAGGCCTGCAGCTGGTAACTGATTCGTTAATACATCTTATTTTTTGAACGCCCTCGAGACGAAAATGAAATCCATTCTTGCTCTGAACACTCGAAGCGACGGCAGCAAAGCCCACACACTTAAGAATTATTTACGAGGTACGCTTCAAACCTTGGCAAACGTGACAGATATCGGGGAGATTTTGATAGAAGAGCGAGATTTCATGAAACAACTTCGCCGCAGTGACTGTGTCTTATTGATAGTGTCACGCCAAGCCTCGCAACTTCTTCAAAACAAGCAGCAAGAAACCGAAGGTGATTATATCACTTTTGACGGAAAGGTTATACGCGACGAACTCGCACAAAACAAAGAACTTGTCAGGGACAAACTAGTTATAGTTTTCCTTAAGGAAAGAAATAATAATGATTGGATCCCAGATGGCATGAACCAGAAAAGAGTATTTGATCTAGAAAACGAAAAAATTCACGGAGGTAATCCTGCCCTAACCCACCTGGAATATACCATAAGAAGAGTACTAGGAGAGACAATGGTGGATTGGTGAGAGCAAACAGGTTCATCTCCGGACAGCAGAAGCCAGATAGCGATTGTGCTTGCTGACTTAGTGAACTTGTTTGATGTAAAGAAACGTACGTAGAAATGTGTTTCGATGGTTCATATAGAGTCTAAGTTTATTTAGTACTCGAATCTACTCAACGAAATAGCATATAATTGAAGTTGTGTGTGATCAGAAATACTCCTCTGCATGTAAAACACCTAGGAATGAAGTGACAAGTGCTTATTTAATAATTAAATATAATAACGTTAATATAACCGAGTTAAAACAAGTGATTTCTATAGCAAGTAAAACAAAATTAAGTGTCGTTTGTGTCATCAGACTTTTTCTCGTGCGCAACAGTTTTTGAATACAGAATAGCTTGTGCTAATTTAATGCAAGAGAAATGTTAACTCATTCAAGCATGATTAATATGCACCAAGTAATTTAGCAAGTGAGGTATACCATTCTGATTGAGTGTGATTAGCACGTTCTTCCTCTCCAAGACTATTGTAAGAAGGATATAAGAGAATATGAGTGTAGAAGGATTAAACATGCAATTGTGAGAAAATGTTGCCTTTTAGAGGTTTTGCACGTCCTATTATGCACTAGACATGTTGCTTATTATAAAAAATGTAAGTGAGCTGGTCAGGAGGTGCCAATTCACAAACTGGCACATAAATGACCCTGTGAGCTCCCTCGGGTCATTGCACACCTCATCACGTTTTCCTTCACGGTGTATAAGCCCAATATGGTATAAAACGCCCGCAGAAAGATATAGGAAAAGCCTAACAGAAATGTTGATTGCCACCAATAAATGACATCGGCATCGGCATCGGCTCCCCTCTTCGAATAATTTCGTCCCTCTCGGAGAATACTTGATTCTTAATGATTTCGAGAATAAAAGACTGATTTCTCTTTGCAATTAGGGTTTACCACGGCCGCAAATCTAACTTTTGGACTTCTAAATGGAGAACTTTTTTTATGTTTAAAAGGAGAGAAAAAACAATCAGGCGTTATTCCTGATTTGAAACCTACAGTTCCTTTTTTTAGCCTGTGGTCAGCCTGCAGAATAGGCGTAACATTTTCGCGTTTTTCAGTCCAACGGAGGCAAGTGCTAGGCGAGAGCGAAGAACGAATCACGCGTGTCTTCCCTTGGACGTGACTCGTTCTTCACGTTCGCCTCCCGCTTGCTTCCGTTCGCCTGAAAAACACCAAAAAATTACGCCTGTTCTGCAGGCTAGCCTTTGATGTAAGGTAAAACACTCAATTCTATCAAAACCAAATTTTCCTCGATCTTGCTCTTCTTCATGTTTTTTTTTCGCGCTTGGTTTGCCACTTTTTACGAAAACACGACACCATGATATGGAATCTATTTTTTAATGCTTTGATGGCTTTTGTGTGTTAGCATGATAAATATATGTTATTTGCCGGCTGGGAGGTCCGTATGGTGAAAAACTGTGACCGAGGTCTTGAAAATACTTCCGAGGCCGAAGCATTTTCAAGACCGAGGTCACAGTTTTTCACCATACGGACCGACCCCTAGCCGGTAAATAACATATTTATTGTTTTTAAACTTGACGAAATTCTTTCCGAAAGAACCCGAATGATTTATGGCCGTAAATACGGCAAGATCTTCCATAAATTGAACAATTTTTGAGTGAGTAAATGGTAGTTGAAATAGAGGTGATGCAAATTTAAGAGAGATACCTCAGCGAAACATTTTCATTTCCGTAAAGATAAAGGTGATTTAAAAGGCTTCCAAACAAACTTTGAAACATTATTTTTACAAGTATCTGTCACAATCTGACACCTGTCAGTTAGAGAGCGCGCAAGAAAAAAAAAAGTGTAGGAACATTTGAAAACCAACTAGTTTGGCAAGGACTGTCACGACAATGTTTTCTTCAAAATCAGTTAATGATCTAACAGAAAGTATTATTCACTCTCATCGACCATTC